TGCCGGCCTCTCTCTCTCTCTCTCTCTCACTCACTCACTCACTCTCTCTCTCCAAATGATGTGAATAAATAAATTATGTGAAAAACAATTGTTTTTCTATGTTTTCAGTCCTTCACTGACTTATGAAGAGATTGTGAATCAGAGTTATGACCGATTGAAATGCAATTACGAAAACTGTGGCAAAAGTTTCTGCACCCAAACCCGATTGGATTCACATATTAGGCGAAGACATGCCGTCGAAGACAACACACAGTCCGGGGAACCGATCGACAGATCATCTCATGTCAGACACCAGTCATTGAGTGCAGCACTCGATGGCAGACAACAGATCCCAACGATTACTACTACTAGTCCTACAGTCCCGACAATAACCACAACCACTACTACTTCCAAAGTCGACAGTCAATGGCTGGACATTAAGTACAATAAGTATGTCTCTGTGTCTGTGTTTTAAGGCATTAATTAATTATTACCCCATTTATTAAGTCTCATCACATCATCCGATATTAGAGACCAGTCCTGGAGTAGAGCACCCGATGACAGTCAACAGATGCAAGCAATCACTACCACTGACCCATCACTGGCTACAATTATCACCACTTCCAGTCCCGACAGCCAATCGATGGATAATAAACGGCATAAGTATGTAATAATTGTCTATATTTTATGAATTAATTGATATGTTTTCCAACACTAAAGTGTTTGGGACTCTGATATCGAACTCATTGGTAGAGTTCCGGCGCCCAAACGGCCCGCACGTAACCGATCGCCCGTTGATATCAAGCCATCGCTCATAGACTCCATACCTCTGGTGCCGGAAATAGTCAACCGATCGCCTATTGACACAAAGCCAGTGATAATAAACACTAGTCCTCAGGAGTCGTCAACTGTCCATAAGTAATGCTATAATAAAGTTTTTAATAATTTCATGTAACAGTAATATAATAATTAATTAAGTTATAATTATATTAATAATTAATTAATATTAAATATATTATATTTTAAGCTCACCATTCAGTACAACAACTACTGGTGCCGGTAATGAGCGCTCACATGAGTTAGCGTCGGATATACACCGCTTTCCCGAAAGCAATGCTAGTAATAAGGAAACACCGGTGCCGTCAAAGACCGCCACTACTATCAGCGTTTCGGGCTCTACAGTGGCTTCCAGTGAGAGGCCATACAAATGCGATAAATGCGGTCAGAGTTACGGTCGCGACCGAGAGCTCAAACAACACCGGGAGCTCCGACACGGCGTACGCGAGTCCTACCGATGCGATCAATGCGACCGCCAATACGACAAAGAGTCACAATTGGCGGCACACATGCGGCACAATCACAGCGCGCGGGTCCGTCGCTACCGGTGCCCATACGCGCAGTGCGAGCGACGGTTTGAATCGCAGGAGGTTCTCGAGGAGCACCGGCTCAGAGCCCACCGTCACTACCGATGCGATTACAAGCCCTGCGTCATGACGTATACCACCAGCCATGGGCTACGCGCGCACCAGCAATGGTGTTGGTATCGGTCGGACTCACGGCGTACGCCTTCCAGGTCGTCGTCGCACAGGTATGTCATTGGGATATAAGGGTCGCACAAATTCAATGAGTGTTTTGACTTTGATCTGCAATAATAGGTCTACGGATAGGATTTATCGGTGCAATGTTTGCCCCGTAAAGTACACCACTAGGGCTTTACTCTACGATCATACAGAACGGGCCCACAAACGCCGGTCCGTAACACTCAATCGGGGCCAAGTAGAGGAGAGTGAGAGCGCGGACCGCAGCGGACCAGTCATTGACACAAACGGTAAAGAAGTGGCCGATCGTCGCACCGCCGGAGACGAGACACCGGCCGTCGTATCGCACACTTCGGTGGCGGCGCCGCTCGAGACGGCCCACAATAACAGCCAGATTTCGGACTCAATTGAATTGAACGACAAGTCTGTGGTCACACCCGATGTCATACATCAGACATCGACTGCGGGTCTAAATAATCAGTCACAAAATGTAAGCTTAAAATCAATTATTATTTTGTTTCATCACTTTTTCGTAATTAAATTATTAATAAAAATAATTTCTCGTCATTTTGTGTTCATTTAAAGGAAAGGAAATTCCAATGCGATCAACAAAATTGCGGTAAAAAATTCATATCAAAACCCCATTTATTTCGTCATAAAAATATTGTTCATTTGAATGAAAGCAAATTCAAATGTAATGAAGAAAATTGTGGCAAAAGTTTCAATCGAAACGATGAGTTAATTCGACATAAAAGGATACATTCATGAGAAATCCCATTTGTTTGTCATTTTAATAATTGTAATAAAAGTTTTGCACAAAAACTTCATCTCAAAAATCACATTCAAAGACATGAATATAAAAAGTCATAAATGTATTCATAATAACTGTAATCAACGGTTAGTTACGAAACAGGAATTGAAACATACATTAATTACAAACATAATGCTGAAAATTACTTAACTAATTAATTAAGTTATACTTATAATTCATATTCAGTCATGTCTTAAAATAAATAAATGATATTTTTAAACAACAATATGACCACAATTATTGTTCATTGCATGGCATATAATACGACAGATACTGTATTTCTATGTTATACCGTTTTCAAATAAGATTTATTAATAACATAATCATCCTAGTTAATTTTAAATATACAATTGTTTTTGATAAATAAAATTTGTTCAGTAAAACACAATAAATAATTCATAACAAACCACACGATGTAATAAATCTATTAATAAATAAATACGTTAAATAAAATAATCCAATTAAATAAATAGCAATCAAATTCTAAACTCAAAATCGGATATCACTAACAATACTAATTAAATAACTATAAAATACTAATTAAATAACTATAATAAATAATTTCATAAACTGATTAATACACAGCAAAATAGCGTTCAAACACACAAAATATAAGCAATTAATTACTTGTAATGTTTAGCCATTTTGTGCATTTTTAAGCCATTATTATCGTAGAAATATCTCTCGCACTCATCGCACGGTACGGATCGGGCCTTCGGTTGAGCCGACCTATAAAAGGCTC